CAGAACTGGGTAGCATTATTCTGTTGTGCATGGGGTTCCATGAGTCAGGGGAAACTTGAAGGCAGCTAACAATCAAACAAAACGATTTTTCTGCAATGTAGGATTCTGTTCTCAAAAAAACCCCACAAGAGTGGAATAATAAGAAAATTTAAATAAGGTTTGTAGGTCAGATTATAGCTTTGTATCAAAGTTAACCTCCTAATTTTTAAAATTGCATTGTAGTTAAAGATAAAGCTGAGAACATGGGAGCCCTTTGGATTACTTTTTTCAACATTCCATTAGTCTGAAATTATTTTAAAATGTAAAATTTTAAATGACACAAAAGACTCGCCAGAAACTGCACTGTTATTAAAATTCAGCACACGTCAAAATACAAACAGAGAGGCTTGGTGATGAGTGGGTCATCAGGGCCTTGGTGGCCGGCCATATCAGGGATTAGACCGTTAATCTTAAGAGTCCTGAGAAGACACAGAAGAGTTTTGAGAAAAATTTGGGGTGTGGAGTAAGTGTATCAGTGAGAGACCCAACAGGAAACAGATGGCACACTAGGAATCAGATAATTTGAGGAGGTTTATTTATGAGACTATAAATATACAGGTATAGGAAATGCAGAGGCTTCAGAGGATAAGCACTGAACTATGAACCACAAAGTCTGTGGTTCAAGCTTGCCGGTCTCTCCGCGGGAGAAAGATGAGGCTTTCTGCTCCTGCAAAGACTTAAAAAAGCCTTGGAAACCCTATACAGGGATGCCATGAGTCAGAACTGACTCGACGGTACTTAACAACAACAAATTTATAGGCTTAGGGATCCAACCAAACTAAAATCAACAGGTGACCTCAAGGAAAGCAAGCTAGAGGAATATATCCTGACCTCACTTTCTTTGTTCTCTGTCCATTTGGCCAAACCAAAAAAGAATCCAGAGGGCATCAGAGTTCACTGACCTATGCAGTCCACACAGATCAGCTTTTTAGGACAGACAGCAGCTGGACATGGTGGGTAGACCTATCAGAGTGTGGTGGATTAAAGATGGCTAGATTCTTTGTCACTCCTCCCATTGAGGTAGGGGTTAATTCCCCCCTCCTGGAGTTTGGACTACCCTTAGTGACTCAGTTTTAACCAATAGATGCTGCTTGATTTCTAAAGCTTGCAGCTTCTGCCTTGCTCTCTTGGAATACTTACTTTTCTGGATGTTCCCCCTCCGAACCCAACTAACCCTGCTGTGAGAAGCCCAAGCAATAGAGTGGCCTCATGTAGATGCTTCAGTGTTTAATCCCAGATGAGCTTCAGCTTGCAGCTAGCATCATCTACCATCCATGGGATAGGGCCATCCTGAACATCCAGTGGAGTTAAGAACAGTTGAGCACAGAACCAGTTCATCTGAGCAACCCCCAATGAGAACCCTCTGGACCAGCCCTTTCCAAATTCCTGAGCCAAATGGTTGTTTTCTGCCATAGGGTTTTGGAGTAAATTGTTAACAAAGCAATAGATCATGATCTATTTAACCAGATCAAGTGAAAATCTATTTAACCAGATCAAGTGAAAACAGAAGTTATCCAGCCCAGGGGTATATAGAAGTCACAGTCTCATTTGAATTTTAAGAAGATAATTCTGGTTGCTGGGAAGGGGTGGGGTGGGGAGGGGAAGTGGGGTAGATAAATTATGGGAAATGAATTAGTAGGCTATTGAGATATGTTCCTGAAAAGAGATATTGATGCCTTGAAGTAGACTGGTGGTGGTGGGAGTGAACACAAGTAGACAGATTTTAGAAATTTCGATAAAATTCACATGACAGTAGTGGAGTAGATATGGAGGGAGGTAGGTGGAAGGAGTTCAGGATGATGCCTGTATCTGGTTTGCATAGCTGGCACTGAGGGTGCTGGTCACTGAGATGAGAACTACTGTGAATGGAGTAGGTATTTTTGAGGGAAGATTCTGAGTTGCCATACAGACAAGTGGTGCAACTGACGTTAGTAAATTGAGATATTGGTGTATGAGCCTGGGATTCATGGCTGAAGTAAAGACACAAGTTTGGGTATGATCATGTGTCAGTGGTAATTAAAGCAAGGGTGTGGATAAAATTGCCTATGAAAAATAGACAAAGAAGAGGGGTGGCCTAGGACTAAACCTTGAGGAACTCCTAAATTTTATTGGTGGATAGAGCAGGAAAAATCAGTGATCTAGTCAAGGAGTGGTTAGTCTAATACGATTGTTGCTGCTGTTGATGCTGCCACTTGGCCAATCCATGGGCTCAAGCATGGCAACAATAGTGACGTTGGCCCAGCATCAGGCAGTCAAATAGGGTGGAGTCAAGGAAATGTTATATAGGAAGGGAGTAGAATAAGATAAGGGCTAGACCTCTGCATTACATAAGACCATAGGTGGAATCCTGAACAGCATCCAGAATCTTCTGATGTGGGGAATTTCCACTTGAAAGGACAAGCAGACCAGCCTGGAGTGGCTAGAAGAACAGAAGATACTTCTTTAAAGAGAGACAGACAGGAAAAATACAAAACAATATAGGCAGACAGACTGATTACTACAAGAACAAGCAAACTGCTCGCCCAGGAGACATCAAGCCAAGTGGTTGGGTCCCCTCAGGGCAAACCCTCTTCTAAGACTAAGACTCAGTGGGAATATACGCTACAATTGGTGACCACGTTCATCACTGATAAGGGGAAGAGAATGAAAACAGCAATGAAGCTGCAAGATAAGCCCTACAATGTTCAACAGACTCCTGTGAACCCGGGTGGAGACCTGGTTAGCCAGCAGGGTGGCAAGACCTGGGGACTCTTGGGCCCAGAGTCAGTGACATAGCCACAGAGGACTAGAGTGGAGAGTGAAGCATCCAGCTGATAAGAAGAGAGGGCATATGCATAAGAACACCCACACTTGCAGATAATACCCACTTGACCTGGCTTCAATGACTGCATGATCTCAACTAGAGCTCAACTAGAAGAAAGAAGAGGAAAAAAAAAGAGTAATCTGATACAATTTGATGAACTTGGCCTACACCTATGGATGCAATAGCTCAAAAGAGGGAACAAATCCTTATAGCAAGAATCATTCCCACCCCTTCCACACACAGATTAGACAGGGATGGGCAACTTGGACATTAGCTACCCAAAATGGGGGAGGGGGGGGAGGAGGGCCGGGGCTACAAAGGTAAGAAGTGACTGGCTTACAAGCTTTCAAGAGAGAACCTAGATCCAGAGGGCGTGGAGGAAGGTAGAATCTCCATTGAGTAGTATCTAATCTGTCTGGGCAGGGCTGATGAAAGGAAATGCAGATAGGTCCCTTGTGGTACAATAGTGAATAACTGTTATCAGGACTGATTGTGAGGGTTGGAAATGTAAAGGTAGATGTTGTGTAGCAAAAGGAGGGTAGTGATTAACTTTGCAGTCTAGGAGCAACAGTCCCTGGGACCATCAAGGGAGAAGAGCGGAGAGCGGGACCCTACCCAGAGAAGCAGTGACGCCAGAGGCAGAGACAATGATGTAGAGAGATAGAGCGGCTGGGGACTTTAGACCCAGAGAGGGAGAAGGGCTGTGTGCTGATGACCGGGGGCAGGCTTGCAAGGTATACCCTTTGGTTGGTTGAGAATGGATGGAGGGGATTGTAACCCCCATTGCATGGAGGGCAATGAAACAATATACAATAGGATGATTGTAAAGCTAATGTTCTTCCATGTAAAATATCACATCATTCAAAATAAAACATTAAAAAAAAAAAGATAAGGGCTAGAAAATTTCTTTGCTATTATCAACTGGAGGTGATTTATGACTTGAGTAAGAAATGGTTTCAATAAAGCAATGATGGAGTGAGAGAAAAAAAAATGGGACAACTCTTAGTGGATCTGGCTGTGCTGGGGTAGGGGAAAGAATTCTATTCACTTTACCAGATTTTTTTTCCCACCAGTTTTCCAGAGTGTTTGCTTGAGGAGTCCAAATCCAATAGATATTAACAAATGAATACATAAAACATATTAGTTTACAAATGAAAAAGGCTGCAAAATAATAGCTGATCTTCTAGATGGGCCACAAGCTTTCAAGTTGTTTGTCACATTGGGTCAGCAACCTCTGTGTGTATCCTCACATATAGCATCTGGGCTTTCAGAATTAGCTAGAGACTCACATACTTCAAGAGCCATAAAAATATGTTAGCCTCTTTAATTATAAAAATGCTAGGTGACACTAGAAATTTTCATAACTGAGTTTCTAAACCAAGTTTAAAAAAATTCTTTACACTTAAAAAAAGTAAAACAAAAAAAATTCAAAATCATTTATAAACCATTCAAATAATCTGAACTTCTTGATTTTATTACTTGAATCCAAATCCAGACTTACTAAACAACCTATTTGCTACCCAACAAAGAAAGATTTAAAGGAAAAAAATATTTTATCTTCCCAAATATAACTGGTATGAAATTTTGTTTTTCTTGTCAGAACTGCAACTGACTTTAGCTAAAACCAAATAAAGACAGAGAGGATATTGATTCCTTTCACTGAAAACAATTTATAGCATATAGTTATTATATACATGCTCAGAGGGGGTCCTGATGCACCATGGTTAATATACTCAACTGCTAACTGCAAGGTCGGTGTTCCAAACCCACCAGCCTGCTCCAAGGGAGAAAGATGAGGTACTCTGCTTCTGTAAGGATTTACAGCCTTGGAAACTCTATAGGACAGTTCTTTCTGTCCTGTAGAGTTACTATAAGTCAGAACTGATTCAGACAATGGATTTGGTTTTGGTTTCGCATACACACACATATAAAGGGAGAGAAAGAGAGAGAGCGATTGTATTAAAATACACATACCTTATTTTTATAACAAAGGCTGAGTAACCGAAGCTTCTAAATTACACAATACCTTTTATTTATAAAGTTTCCAATGGTTTTAGCCCTTCTTATTGACCTTCTTTACTTCATGATTCTTAATCAAAAGGTCAACTATATATATTTGTAAACATCAAGTCATATTACTACAGTTCTCAGAAACGGTTCATTTCTTCAGCTCTTCATGTACATGGAGGCTGCTGGAGACTTTATTAGCTCGGAGTGCCTCTGTCTCTCCATTTAGAACAAACTCTGCAGGTACTGGGGATTCCTGGATGGTGGATTTTATAGCATGAGCAGCATAATTAAGGCTGGTATTCTCACTCCAATGCCAATACCCTGAGAAGGGGTTATAGAGCATTCCTGCCAAAGTTTGAACTGACAGACCATCTGGGAAAAAAATAGAAATATTAATTTAATATTTAATAGGTATTAAAAAGTTTCAAAAAACTTTCCACATTATAAGACTGAAACTCAAAGGGAACACACAAAAAGGCATGTAAGTTTGCTGGTAACCACGTTGGTCTACTGGTGAGTGGAAGAAAGGGGAAAGGCAGCAAAGAAGAAATGGGCTGAGTTCAACCACAGTCCACTGACTCCCGTTGACCTGGAGATGAGAGAGAGAAGAGGAAGGGCTGGTTGGTCCAAAGTGTGGTGAGATCTGAGGACACTTGAACCCATGGGCAAAGGCAGAGCCACAGAGGGCTAGATCTGATAGTGAAGCATCCAGCTGATATGAAGTGAGGGGAGATGCACAAGAACACCCAAACTTGCAGATAGGACCCATTTGACCTAGCCTCAATGGCATGAATTCGACTAGAGGAAGATTACAAAAAAAAAAAAAATTTTTTTTTTGGATAAATTAAACAAGGGTAAATTGCTACAATTTGATGAGCCTGATGTATACTCATGGAGGTAGTAACTCTAAATACCAACAGAGAGGGAAGGAGTCTTCACTGTACACAGGATAGATAGGGATAGGCAAGTTAGACACTGGCTACCTGAAATGAGGGGGTGATAAAAGCACAAAGTGACTGGCTTACAAGGTTTAAAGAGGGAGTTTAGTTTAAGAGTATGGGGGAGAAGAAAGAAAGAGTCCCCACCGAATAGTTTTCATCTTGTCCAGATGGGTCTGGTGAAAAGAGATTCGATAGTGAATAATTGTTATCATGCCTAATTGCGACTATCACAATTGTAAAGGTAGAAGTTTTATAACAAAAACAGGGGAGTGGTTAATCTTACAGTCCAGAAACAGAGGCCCCTAGAACCATCACAGGAGACGAGCACAAGCAGAATGTAGGACCTTATTCAGATAATCAGCGACGCCAGAGACAGAGGCAGAGATGGGGTCATGGAGATGGGGAGCAGCTGAGGACTCTAGATTCATGGGAAGAGAGGGACTAAGAACTCGTGGTCAGGCGCCAGACTTGTAGAATGTGCCCTTTGGAAGTGTAAATTATTACATATGCCTGAGTGGTTGTTGCTTTTTAAAAAAAAAAAAGCTAAAGTGGATCCAGAGAAATACTGTTAACTGATGGTACATGGAGGGGATTATAATCATTGTAATGAAACAAGATGTAAGATTTGTTGAATGTAAAACTGATGATCTGCCCTGTAAACTTTCACTCAATCCACAATAAAAACCTTAAAACAATGCATTTGAAGCTCAACAATAAAAAAAAAAAATTGTTGTTGTTATTAAGTGCTGCTGAGTTGATTCCAACTCATAGCAACCCTGTGTATGGTTTCGATGGAGTGGCTGGTGTGTTTGAACTACTGACCAGTACAGAACTTATCCTAAAGCACCACACCAGGATTCCAAGATAAGAATTGTTGTTGTTGTTAAGTGCCATGGAGTCAGTTCTGACTCAGAGCGACCTTGTATAGGATTTCTGAGGAACAGCTGGTGAGCTGGAACTGCCCGCCGACCTTGCAAATCAACAGACTTTGCAGTCCAGTGAATTAACCTACAGCTTCACACCTGGACTCCACGATAAAAATAGATATACTGAAAACATTCTTTTAAATACTTACTTGATTCCAGAATGCTCTCTAGCTTTTCAGGTGAAACAAACTTCTCCCATGTATGAGTACCTTTTGGTACAATACCAGCAATTTGCTCTGCAAAAACAATTCCCAAGGCATAGGACAGTTGTGTTTTGTTGATTGTAGTAATGAATAACGAACCACCAGGCTAAAAAAATATACACAGAAGTACAATTTTAAATGTCAGAAGTATCAGTTAAAGACTTGACTTCCTCCTTCTCCTGCCTTCCTTCCAAATGACCTTCTTCAGGGCAGCTAACATATGTAAGTGTGATCAATATACAATTCAACAAAATAGTATTTTTGTCATCTTGAAAAATTCATTATTCAAGGCAGTTCTCTGCAGATACACTCACAGTAACATTGCTTACAACTCTTTAAATCATACATAACATGTATTTTATATATATGCTTTTTTCAAATATTCCATAAAAAAAAATAAATAAATAAGAGAAATGAAGTCAGGCTTCTCTTTCTTATTATAGGTGCGCATTTAGGTTTTTCATTCGTCAACATGGTTTTCTCTTTGAGTGCACAGACCTCAGAAAATGTTGAGTCCACCTAACTTCTCTGGGACAGCACAGAACCATGTATCTTGTGCCAGGGAGCATTTCCAATAATTCCTCCCTAAAAAGACACTAATGATTAAGTTTTAAAGGTTTTTTTGTTTTGCTTTGATTTCATTTGTATAAAATATATGAAGAGATCAACATAAACATTTAGAGGACTGTTTAGTTTCCAAAGTTTTAATGATAATACTTATGATAAGGAGTGCTGGTATCAAGTAGATTAAACACTGGGCTGCTAACCATTAAGGTGGGTAGTTCAAACCTGCCAGATGCGCCTCAGGAGAAAAGATGAGGCTGTCTGATCTTGTAAAGATTTACAGTCTTGGAAACTCAAGGGGGCAGTTCGATAGTGTCACTGTGAGTTGGAATTAACTCAATGGCAGTAGTTTGGTTTTGGTTTTACTTTTGGGGTTTCCTATATTTACTCCCACCAACGTAAAGGACATTAATGTCTCCTCCCTCATCTACACATTCTATTAGCCCAATGGAGATAAAATGCCAAATAGATCCTCTAAAATATTCATATTATAGATACAGACATAGAGAGAAAAAGTAAGAGAAAAGACGAGAGAAAGAGATAATATATCTCAAATGCCACTCTGAACCCCAACTTAAAAAGACAGGAGGAAACCTTGAAAATAGAACTACTACACACCACTTCATCATGTAGTATGAATTTTCTCTATAAAACACTAATATTCTACTGCAATCATTGAGATGAAACAAAGTATATTATGTGTTAAATGTAAAACGAGTAATCTTGTCTGTAAATCTTCACTCAATTCACAACAAGTTTTAAAAAAACACATTAAAATTCTAAATATCTAATTTAAAATAACTGGTTACGAATCGGGCTGCGAACCTTAAGGTCAGCGGTTCGAAACTACCAGCCGCTCCGCGGGAGAAAGATGAGGCTTTCTACTCCCGTAAAGATTTACACCCTCGGAAACCCTGTACAGGGTCGCTATGGGTCGGACCCGACTCGATGGCACTTAACAACAACAACAACAACAGATATCTAATCTGTGCTTTACAAAATTTTATTCAAAGGAAATACTGGCAAACAAGTCATTTTTTAAAAGTAGGCTTTACATTAAGACAAAAATTAGCTTTAAAGTCCACAATGTCACCATTTCTAAGATGTATGAAACAATCTCCAGTCATACATAATGACACTGCACACCTGTGTTCACTGCAGCATATTCACAGTAGCAAAACCATGGGAACAGCCTAAGTGCCCTTCAAAGGATGAATGGGTAAGCAAAATGTGGTACATACATACAATGGAATACTACAAACCCACAGAGAACAATGAGTCAGAAATTAGTAATTAATTATTCATTATAAAAAATTAACAACACCCAACTCAGAAATTAATGACTAAGGAGTTGTACTTGGAAAACAGGAACTAAACCTAATAAAATTTCTACTTCAGAGGAAACACCATGAAACGGTCACAGATTGGAGGAGACTAAGGAGACACCACAACTAGATACAAGGTGTAATCCTGGATTGGGTCCTGTAATAGATAAGGGACTTAAGTGAAAAAAATAATGCAATTCAGCAAGTCTGTATGGTAATGAACACTATCGAGCCACCATTAATTTCTCAGTTTTGAGAAACGCACAATGGTTATATACAAGTCTGGGACTAGGGTCAGGCAAGTGAAGTGCCTAAGGTACAAAATTTAAGGAAGCACATTCTCTCAGGGCTGTGCAAGTGCAAGTCAGCACCCTCTAGGGAGTGACTCTTAAAATGTTGTGCCCTTAGCACCTGTCTTGCCTCATCCTAGTACCTACTCTGGTTTTGTGAGATGTTAACATAAGGGAAACTGGGTAAAGGGTTTATAGGAAAACTCTGTACCATCTTTGTAACTCTTTATATATCTAAAATTGTTTAAAAATAGTTAAAGAAATTTGGAACCATACTCAGAGGACTAAGTCTGTATAACAATGCACTGGGAAGAACTACAATGGAATAAAAAGATCTAGCCCTAAGTCCCATTTACTGGCCCAGTGACCTATGATAGCTCTCAATTCCTGGCAAAGGAAGTGATGACAGTGCCGCTCTTACCTTCCTCACCTAGTTCTAGGTAAAATTAAGTAAGATCATATGTGTGAAGTATTATTTTATAAGTTGAAAACTGTTATACATATATCACATGTGGCATTACTTAACAATGTAATTTGTTAGGTACATTTATGCTAATAGTTATTTTTATTAATAATTTTAAGTATTCATCCAGATCAATTTCTTGGTAATTTTAATTCAATATCTATTTGTTATTTAGCACTGGACTGTTAGCCACAAGGTCAACGGTTCAAATCTACCAGTTGTTCCTCAGAAGTCCATGACAGGGGCCTTATGAGTTAGAATCAACTCAGTGGCACTTAACAACAATATACCAATGGAGAAATATTGCTATAAATGCAGATCTCCAATTTTCCTGTACCAACATTTTCCATTATCCATGGGAATCAAGAAAGCAACAGGATACTTAAAAAAAAAAAAACCTAGTATTTTAGATCAAGCTGAAATATGAAGCCTAGGGACAGAAGGACTCTTCAGCAGAGATGACTCTTAATACTGGCTTTCTAGTTTCTCCTCCTTACATATACTGCACGTGCTGGAATGACAAGATATTATAAGACAGTTTATTGCTATGACCGTATGGACACACAAAAGAAAAAAAAACAAGTCAACTCCATATGTCTTACTTTTAACACTCCACAGCAGCACTGTATAAATGTCTCTAGATCAATCACATGTTCTACAACCTCGGAAGCTACGATGGCATCAAATGTTTCTGCGGTTTCTTCTACAATCTCTTCCAGGGAACATGCTTTGTACTCTATCCTCTTAACAAGGACTGGGTCAAATGATTGATGATGTTGTGCTGTTTTAATGTTCTCATCCACGGGATCGATGCCAAGAACTGAAGCCCCCAGCCGCCCTAGAGGCTAATGGCATAAAACACTGTTACCCTCAGGAAGAAAAAAGAACACATGTTAACAATAAAAACCTTATAAAAAGTGAAACAAGATAAGGAAGTGGTAAAACAACAACAAAACAGAGGGACTAGAAGCACATACTGTAGAATGATGATGTACAGAGACTGTAATCATTGCAACGAAAACAATTACCAATGAGTGAAAAACCGATGTTCTCCTGTGTAAACTATCACTCAATTCACAATAAAAACTTTAAAAAAAAAAAAAGAAAAAAGATATGAGGTGGTAACATAGGTACATGGAAGTTCATAATACCATTTTCTCTACCTTGTATTTGTTTGGAATTTTACATCATAAAAACCTTTAAAGTGAGAACAATGAAAACAAAAAATTTATCAAGAACCAATTGAGAAAAATGAAAATAAATTTTTGTTTACATTTTCTTTATGTGCATTTACATGCACACAGTAAATTTCTAACATATTTAAAGTGTAATGAATACAATACAATAGAAATCAATTTCTGAGATCTTCAAATTTTCTAAAGAATATCTATCAATAGTTTTTTTGTGTGACTGACTATAGAAATAATTCTTCATGGCCAATTCTTTCATCTTTCATATTCAATCACTACCCATGGCATGCTCAAGTTTTTAAACACAACCTTAATTTTAATCAAATGTACCTAATATTTACACTAAATAGTAAATAAACTAAATGCACAAATCATTTTTTGTAATGTTAGAGCCACGGATGTACAGTAATGGATTGAGCAGATGGCAGAATGTGCCTAATATCGCTTAAGCCATTCACAATTCAACACACCACATAGCCTTTAAAAACGATATTTTATTTTGGTTTAAGTTAAAGTTTATGCAGAAAATTAGGTAACCCTTTAGTAATTTTTATACAGATTGTCCCTAGCCATTGGTTATAATTTTTATATGTCAGCATTTTCATTTTGTTTCCATTAATTTAACTTCCCCTCCCCTTGACTTGAAATACTGAAGGATTCCTTGGGCAAAATATTGACTGATGCAGAAAGCATCAAAAGAAGATGGAAAGAATACACAAAGTCACTGTACCAAAAAGAAATGGTTGATCAATATTCAACCATTTCAAGACATACCATATGATCAAGAGCCAATGGCACTGAAGGAAGAAGTCCAAGGTGCACTCAAGGCATTGGCAAAGAACAAGGCTCCGGGAATTGGTGAAATGCAAATTGAAGTCTTTCAACAAACTAATGTAACACTGGAGACACTCACTCATCTATGTCAAGAAATTTGGAAGACAGCTACCTGGCCAACTGACTGGAAGAGATCCATATTTGTGCCCATTCCAAAGAGAGGTGACCCAAAGGAATGCAGAAATCGTGTAATAATTTCATTAATATCATATGTAAGTAAAATTTTTCTAAAGATAATTTTTAAATGGCTGCAACAGTACATTGACAGGGAACTGCCAGAGGCTCAAGCTAGATTCAGGTACAGACATGGAACAAGGGATATCATTGGCTGAAAGCTGAGAATACCAGAAAGATAGTTACTTGTGCTTTATTGACAATGCAAAGGCTTTTGATTGTGTGGATCATGACAAGCTATGGACAACATCGCAGAGAATGATTATTCCTGAACACTTAATTGTGCTCATGAAGAACCTATACATAGACCAAGAGACAACAGTTTGAGCAGAACAACAGGAGACTGAATGTTTTAAAATTGGGAAAGGTGTGTGCCAGGGTTGTATTCTTTTACCATATTTATTCAATTTGTATGGTAAGCAAATAATGTGAGAAGCTGGATTATATGAATTAGAATGTGGCATCAGGATTAAAGAAAGACTTATTAATAATTTGCAATATGCAGATGATGCAACCTTGCTTGCTGAAAGTGAAGTAGATTTAATATACTTACTGATGAAGATCAAAGACCATAGCCTTTGTTATATGTTGTTCCTCAAGGTAAAGAAAACAAAAATCCTCACCACCAATAAACATCAATAAGTACCAAAAAATATCATCATGATCATGGAGAAAAGATTGAAGTTATCAAATACTTCCTTTTGCTTGTATCCACCACCAACACGCATGGAAGCAGTAGTCAAGAAATCAAATGAAGTACTGCATTGGGCAAATCTGCTATAGAAGATCTTTTTAAAGGGCTGAAGAGCAAAGATGTAAATTTGAGGACTAAGCCATAGTATTTTCAATAGTTTCATATGCATGTGAAAGTTAGACAATGACTAGGAAAGACCATAGGATATCTGATGTATTTGAGTTATTGTGTTGGAGAAGAATATTAAAGGTACCATGGAATGGCAGCAAAGCAAACCTGTGTTGGAAGAAGTACAACCAGAATGCTCCTTTGAAGCCAAGATGACCAGACTTCATCTCTCATACTTTGGACATATTATCAGGAGGGAGGAGTCCCTGGAAAAGGACATCATGCTTGGCAAAGATGAAGGTCAGTGAATGAGAGGGAGACCCCCTCAATGAGACGGACTGGCAGAGTGGCAGCAGCAAGCATGGCAGCAGTTCTGAGGATGGCGCAGGACTGGCAGTGTTTCATTCTGGTGTGCATAGAGTGCTATGGGTTGAAGATGACTCAAAGACATCTAACTAACAGTCACTTCTTGCCTTCTCGTCTTTGTTCTTGAGTAAATGTTAACTGTTTTGTCCCATATAGTTAATTGTTGAAGAGAGTACATTACTCTTGGGTGATACTGTTTATTTTATAAACCAATCTCCTGTTCATCTGAAAAGTGACCTGCAGAAATAGCTCCTATATGAGTTTGAGGAGGCATTTTAGGGCAATAGTCTCAGAGTTTCCTATAGGCTCTATTGCTCCAGTAGGTCTGGCTTTTTTAAGGAATGATACACCACATATTCTTGAAACTCAGGGATGTACTTTCACACATTGTAACTTTCCTGAAATTTACAAATAGTCCACTACCAGTTGAAAAATACACAACTTGTGCGAACTTAGAAGTTCAAAGGCCTCTGTCAGTATCCACCTCAACTAGGTTGAATTATAGGCCTTAACAGTATCACATTCCATTGAATAATAATACAAATAATTTGTATTTGCATCCCACACTGTTGCTCAAAGTATCTTTCAAAGATTAGATTACAATGCAGAATTAAAACAAAAGTCACTGGGTTGAGAGAAAATAATACAAAATAGAGCTACAGGGCATAAATTTACTATACACAAGTCCCTGGAGAAGGAAATCATGATTGGTTAATTGGAGGGTCAATGAAAAGGAGGAAGACCCCCATTGAGATGGACTGACACAGAGCAGCAGCAATGGGCTCAAGAGTAACAAGAATTTTGAGGATGGCACAGGACTGGGCAGTGTTTCGTTGTGTTGTGCATAGGGTCACTATAAGTCAGAATCAACTAGATGGAACCTAATAACAACAAGCAAATTTTCTCTACAAGAAAAATCTCTACTCCTCCAAATACTCAAAAGCACCTAAGAAGGGATTTCTAAGCTTCACAGGCAAAACTTTATTAGGTTCTGTTATTGAAGCAAATATAAATGGACAACCCATTATTGCATTAAAACCATCAGAAATCACCTAATTTCATGGGATAGAAACAATTATAGGATTGCTAAAACCTGTCATTAGAGTTCTGTTATTTAAATGATCCATATCACATTTTTGAGAAAAAAGAGAGAGAAACATCACTATACTTTTTAATAATATGAAATTAAATAATCATATGGTTTACAATATCTGGAATGACAAACAGAGGAGAAATAGTGTTGTATTTATCATCAAAATGTACAGTTCAAGCTCTATTCCTGATATACAATGCTGTCAGTAATAGGATAATATCCATCTGCCTACAAGAAAGAGCAGTTAGTATAATAATAATAATAGTATTGAATAATGCATCATTCAAATTTACTCAATAACCACTTAAGCCAAAGATGAAGAAATTGAAGAATTCTACCAACTTTTGCAGTCTGAAATTAATCAAACAAGCAATCAAAAAATACTGATAATTACTGATGGCTGGAATGAGAAAGTTGGAAACAAAGAGGAAAGATAGTTGAAAAACATGGCCTTGGTGATAGAAATAACTCTGAAGATCGCAAGACAGAATTTTACAAGACTGATGACTCATTCACTGCAAATACCTTTTTCCAACAACATAAATAGCGACTGTGAACGTCATAAAGTACCTTGATAGCATAGTGGATTATGAGCTGGGCTGTTAACTGCAAGGTCAGCCGTTCAAATCTACCACTAGATCCACAGAAGAAAAGATGAGGCTCTTTGCTCCCATAAAGATTTACACCCTCAGAAACTGTATACAGGGTTGGAACCAACTTTATGGCATGCAACCACCACCAACATACATGTCAGGGAACACACAGGAATAAACTGACTACATTTGTGGAAAGAGACAATAGACAATCTCAATATCATCAGCCAGAACAAGGCCAGGAGCTAACTGTGGAATAAACCATCAATTGCTCATAGGCAAATTCAAGTTGAAACTGAAGAAAATTAACAAGTACATGAGAGCCAGACTACAACCTTAAGCATACCCCACCTGAATTTAGAGACCGTCTCAAGAAAAGATTTGATCCACTGAACACTAATGACCAAAAACCAGTGAAGTTGTGGGATGCCATAGCAAATAGCCAACATATGAAGAAAGCAAAATGTCATTAAAAAGAAAGGAAAGAAAGAAAAGACCAAAATGGATATCAGAAGATACTATGAAACTTTCCTTGCTCTTAAACATAGAAGAGATAAAGTGACTGGAAGATGTGATAAAAGTAAAATAGCTGAACAGAAGATTTCAAAGCACAGCTTGAGAAAACAAAGTATTACAATGAAATGTGCAAAGACCTGGAATTAGAAAATCAAAAGGTAAGAACAGACTTAAGCTGAGAGAACTAAAGAAAAACCTCACAGCTTGTGTTGCAATATTGAAAGACTCTGTGGGTGGAATATTGCATAAGGAACTGGTTGATGCTCATCCATTTCAGGAGGTAGCATATGATCAAGAATCAATAGTATATTTAAATTAAAAAAGAGAGAGAGAGAGAATCAATAGTACTGAAGTTGCACTTAAGGCATTAGAGAAAAACAAGTCCACAGAAACTGACTGAATACCAATTGAAATGTTTCAACAAATCAATTCAGCATTGGAAACATTCACTCAGCTATGCTAAGAAATTTGGAAGACAGTTACCTGGCCAACAATTGGAAGATATCCATATCTGTGAACATTCCAAAGAAAGGTAACCCTACAGAATAATATTAATAACATCACACACATATAAAGTTTTGCTGAAGATAATTCAAAAACAGTTACAGCAGTACATTGACAAGGACCTGCCAGAAATTCAAACTGGATTCAGAAGGGGATGTAAAAACAAAGGATATCATTGGTGACATCTGCGCTGAAGGCAGAGAATACCAGAAAGATGTCTATTTGAGTTTTATTAACTTTGCAAAGGTACTTGACTGTGTGGCTCATTTTAAAACTAGGGATAAAACTTAGAAGAATGGGAGTTCTAGAACACTTACTTAATTGTGCTTATGTGGAACCTGTACATAGATCAAGAGGAAATCATTTGAACAGAATTGGGAAATATTGCATGGTTTGAAATCAGGAAATGCATGTGTCAAGAATTGTATCCTTTCATCATACTTATTCAATCTGTATGCTATACAAATAATTCAAGAAGCTGGGCTATTATAAAGAACATAGTTCAGGATTGGAGCAGGCTCTTTAACAACCTGCAATATATAGACAATAACTTTACTTGCTGAAAGCAAAAAGAACTTGAAGCACTTACTGATGAAGATCAAGACTACAGCTTTTAATATGGATTACATCTCAATGCAAAGAAAATGAAAATCCTTAAAACTGAACATCATGATAAAGGGAGAATGATTGAAGTGCTCAAGAATTTCATTTCACTTGGATCCACTATCAGTAGTCAAACAATCAAGACATCAAATGATGCATTAATGTATTGGATAAATGTGCTGCAAAAGACACTGTTACAGTGTTAAAGAGCAAAGATGATGGTTTGAGGACTAAGGTGTACCTCACCCACACTATTTTATCTCTAATCGCCTCACATACATGTGAAAGCTAGACAATAACTAGGGAAGAGAAAAACTAATGTAGTTGATAATGGTGTGTGGAAGGATACTGAATAAACTGTGGACTGCCAGAAAAACAAATCTGTCTTGGAAGAAGTATAGCTAGAACGCTCCTTAGAAGTGAGGATGAAGAGACTTTGTCTCATGTACTTTGATGATGTTATCAGGAGGGATCAGTCTCAGAAAAGGACATCATGCTCAGCTAAGTAGGGAGTTTGTGAAAAAGGGGAAGCCCCTCAATGAGATAAGCACAGTGGCTGCAACAGTGGGCTCAAACATAGCCGGACTGTAGGAATAGTGCAGGGCTGGGCAGTGTTTCCTCCTTTTGTGTACAGGGTCGCTATGAGTCAAAACCAACTCTATGGCACCTAACAACAACAACAAAACATACTTCCCAGAATTTTTAGATTGAAAAGATAATAGAAAACATGTGTTACTTTAAAAAACAAACATATTTTATTTATCTCTTTTTTAAAAAGTGAAAAATATTGTTTGCTGAAAAGATAAATGAAGCAGAAACCCATTCCCTATCATTTTGTTTCCACAGTTAAAATTGGGAGAAAGCTGTATCAGTTTCTTACTTCAGTTAACAATCCACCACCACAGCCAACATCGAGAATCTTCATCCCAGACAAAGGTTTTCCTGGCTGGTGATCAGCAACTGCTTTCAAAAGATTGTCTCTTTTTAAAAAATTTAAAACATAAAAAGACAAAGAATTATAAATGAAAGTCTTTAAAGTGCATATTTTTCAAGGAAATTAAAACTTCCATTTGTAATGGATTACTGATATTTCTGAACGAACTGATTTTTTACTTTCAGCATTAAATGACAATTTAGAAAACATTTTCAGTAATCAAAAGAAGGAGGTTTAAAGTAAAACTGAAATAATCTAGTAATTACTATGATATATTACTACTTTATTTTTGTCAGGAGCAACCAGTCCCTGGAGAAGGACATCATGGTAGGTAAAGTGGAGGGTCAGCAAAAAAAGAGGAAGCACCCCAACGAGATGGACTGGCACAGTGGCCGCAACAATAGGCTTAGGAGTGAGTGGCAGCAATTGGTGAGGATGGCACAAGACTGGGACAGTGTTTCCTTCAGGCGTGCACAGGGTCGCTATGAGTTGGAATTGGCTCAATGGCACCTGAAAACTAACATTACTTTTGTAATAATCAAAACTAGTCTAGTTTATCCCTGTGGGCCCAAGCGTTGCAGACCGTCCAAACCATAGGCTCTGAGGATCAGACTTTAACCACCTAGCAGACATAGCAAACTGTCCCTCATCTGATTATTCAGTTATGCTTGTTAGTAATCGCATACATGAGCCCTGGATATCCACAGATAAATGTAAAAACCTTCCCTAAAAGCTGAGACTGTAAATTCCA